TTCTTCTTCTTCTTCTTCTTCTTCTTCTTCTTCTTCTTCTTCTTCTTCTTCTTTGTAGTTGGAGACAGTGTGTGGTTGGATGGTGCCTTTGTGTGGTTTTGCTCCTTCTTTCCTATCAAACATCTACCGTCGTTGTCTTGTCTCTTCATTCTTTTCTTTGTTATGCCAGTATCTAGTAGTACTTCTGCTCTTCAGCACTTAGAGGACTTATTAGTGTTACAAATTCTGCAATTAAAATTAAATTAATTGGGGACATTTAAAAGCATGTCAGTCTTTTGTTCCGATCGTAACATTATGCTCATTGAACAGTTTTGTTTTAAAGAAACTGTAGTGTCCACTTTAAAATTAAACTTTTGGAATAATTTTTGTCTCTAATGACTGTCATTGGTGAGCAGTGACCTAAGCCATAATATGCGTATGCAAAATGTGTGTAAGAAGCAGGAAGTGCTGTGAGCACTCCCATTTTCCGCGTGACCGTGATTTGAAGTATTTTATATAAATTTATGAAGAAGAGTTGTTTAATGTAGCCTCTATGGTTGTGGAAAAAATATAACAAAGTTGAGACAAATTAGTACAAACTGCTGTGCAAAGTAAGGGAGACATTGATTAACCCGTTTAGGAAATATATGCGTTAAGTTGCGCCTCGAATGTTTTATCACACGATAGATGTGAAAACATTTATGATTGATTGGTTGACTTACTGACTGATTGAAAATATTTTACGTTCCACTAGACACTTTAGAACATTTGGGAGGCAAGCTGCTTCGAACCTGCCTCTCAGGGTCAAGCCAGGTTGAGTAGGAAACTACTCTTCAACAGAAGATTGGGGTTCTCATCCTCATCATGACGTACACGACCAGGTCAGAAGCAGATATCAGCAGTCTTGCTTCGCCATTCGCCTCTCGATTCAATAAGAAAAGCAAACAAAAAAGCTCAAAAAACCACTTTCCCAGACAGTAACCGAAGTCATGTCTTCTGCTTGCAAAGTTGATTTAAAACACACACACTCCTAACTCTTGCAAATCGTAAGCCTGTTCCCTTTTTTGTTTGCAGCAAGTTTAGTTGATGATACGCACACTTATTACGTCATCATTTTTGTCAAAAAAATCTGGGTTTCTACCTACAAACTTGTATTTCCAGCCAAACTATTCATATCAGAAAAGAGGGAAATGTACAGACAAGGAAATATTAATAATGGATGGGTAAAAATGTTTTTAAAAACCCAAGAAATCGGCGTTTAGTTAGTAGACGTAGCGGCTTATAAGAGATAAACTCGACCACGGCTTGTCTCATTTGCTCCAGGGAGTCATCATGGTGTGTGAAGAAGAAGAGCCTCTCCAGAAAGTGACCCTTCTTCCTGCTGGGGAGACATGTAAGTAGCACTTTTCCATTTGTTTGGATAAAGCAAAGAGAAGCACATCGACTCTGACGGTCATTTAGCGCATGGAAAAGGCAGGACTGGCAGACAGACAGGCAGACAGAAGCAATAGAGGGGAAGTATGATCTTAAGCGTTAAATTTTTAACTTCCTCAAACGGCTGACAGCTTTCTGTTTTCCTTAGTTTGTTGTTACTGTTGTTGTTGTTGTTTGTAGTTGTTATTGTTGTTGTTGTTGTTGTTGTTGTTGTTTGTTGTTTGCCTTACCGGTTGGGTCCTATCGGGACTGTTTAAGATAAATCCAAGGAGAAAGGCCGAAGTACTTAATAAGATTTCTCTGTCATACGTGAACTGACAGGATTTGCGTATAAGTCAAAGAACCCTCATTGTTACTCCACTGGTGCCAGAGAGGGATGCATTTAAAAGTCTGGTAATTGTGATCATGGCAAAGACGTTAATGGTGAATATCCTGGTAAAGATAAGAGCAATATCATCATCATTATTATTATTATTATTATTATTATTATTATTATTCACTACGTTCATCTAGGCTACTTTCCTCCGCAGAAGGTTCTTCAACTGCCATGGGCAAGGCGTCTAAACTTCGGTTGGGATTTGAAAATGTGAAATGAGAAATATGAATTATGAAAAGGTATAGGTTTAGCGCCCCTATCAACACTTTTAGATTTTTTAAGAAGTGGGACCTCCTAGTTTTAACGTCCTTCTACAAAAGGACCGGGGTCGGATTACCGAATATCTCACCAAAAAATTGGGTTAAATCGAATAAAGTACCCAAGCACTTAAAAGTGAGACTAAAACTCAAACTGCACTATAATTATGTCACTCCAGAGTATTCCATGTTATGAAACATTATAGATAGATCGTTTCCGGCAAGGCCAGAAACTATTAATAACTATTAATTCCAATTTTCCAATTTTCAGGACGAACTCTCTCTCTCTCTCTCTCTCTCTCTCTCTCTCTCTCTCTCTCTCTCTCTCTCTCTCTCTCTCTCTCTCTCTCTCTCATGAAATAATGCGTGCATTAAACTCGCAATCAATCCCCCTCCCTCCATCCCCCCTCCCATACTTTAACTTTCTTCACCAGTGTTTTTATTGAGTGAAAACAGAGACGCGTCTAGGCCAAATCTCCGACTTCAAGTATCCGGACCTTTCTACTCACATCTAGAGGTCAACGTCACAGGGCCAGTTGTGACCTTTGACATGTCCCCGAATTACTCTGTGAGTTAAATTTGAAGTTTGTCCTAGCTATACAGGGAACAATGGTTAAATTAATAATAAATCATCTTCACCATCATCAGCAGCATTGTCAGCAGCATTGTCAGCAGCAACAGCATTGTTTCATAGCAGAAAAATATACTGGAATATAGTTGTTCATAACCAACCAGATGTTCTAAGACAAAATCTTTCTCTCCCTCATACACGCTCTCTTTCTACCGCCCTCTCACTCACAATCTCCTTCTCTCTCTCTCTCTCTCT